GCATTCCTATCTCTGTTGCAGTTCATGTGGGGTTGGAAGGGGTACAGTGCAGTGGTTTCTGTGAGGATGACAAAAATATTGTTTCTTCACAGAACTTTGATAAAGCAAAGTGCAGGGGATTTGGGTCTCCTGCTCTTTCTTTGGTTTACATATCCCTCAGGGGGTTTGTTTTTGTAGCAGCCTCTCTCTGCACCCAGCTATAACTCGACCTGTTTCGTGCATCAAAGAAGCTCAGGATGTGATATTTAGGAATCAGAGAACATAAACCAAAATTCCAGAGAAGGAAGATCACACCAGCTGTCCTCAGCCCTTCTCCTCAGTTATTCAGGCTCATTTTGGGTCGCTGTGGGGCTGTACCTGCCCCAGAGGRATCCCAGAGGAGCCCCAGCTTTTTCAGAGGCAGCAGCTCCCTCGCAGCGCTGTCCCAGAGGACTGTGGCAGATTGCAAACACTCTCAGCACAATCATACCGTCCCAATTAGCATAATGATGCTGCCTAATTTATGCACAAATTGCCCTAATTTATGTGTGTCGATACATGTGATTAAACCAAGCACAGGTGGAGCAGGGTTTGGTCTCACCCAGCCAATGAAGCACAAAGCTKCATCCATCCCAAAATGTGGGAAAGGTCCAAAATTCCTTTTTCCTCTTTACTAAAATATGGAGGTTTATATTGTTTTGCTCTGGCAGCATGAATGGGGTGCAGGGCAGGGCTGAACTCGTGGCAGGAGGTAAGAGAATAAAAGATTCCTGGGCTGAGATTTGCATGGATTAAAGGCAGCTTTAATTTGCCTTGATACACTTGGGTTTCAGGTGGATTAACAGGCGGCAGGATTTGGGGCTGTCTAGCCAACTAATACCTGCCTTCCTTTTATTTTAATTATTTTAATAAGGGATGGAGGACTCCCGGAACTGTGGGCCACCTTTGCCACCCCCTAATCTTGAGCATTTTCGTGTGTAACATTTTATACCATTAATATTCTCGATTAACAAAAACTGCTGTCATGATCTCAATTCCCAGAGCACTTTCTCAGCAGGGTTCTTAAAAAAAAATCAACCATCTTTGATTGTAACCTTGTATTCCTCATTTTAATAAAAGAAATATATAAAAATGGTTCCATAGAATCCTTGACTGGTTTGGGTTGGAAAGGTCCTTAAAGATCATCCCATCCCCTGCCATGGGCAGAGATACCTTCCACTATCCCAGGGTGCTCCAAGCCCTGTCCAACCTGGCATGAAACACAAGCAGGTTGATCCAGGATCATAAGAATCACAGAAATATTTTAAATTGGAAAATCCCTCTAATGTGATCAAGTCTAACCCAGCACTGCCAAGGCCACCACTGACCACGTCTCCAAGTGTCACATCCACACAGTTTTTAAAACTCTCCAGGGATGGAGACTCCACCCCTTCCCTGGGCAGCTGTGCCAGGGCTGGACAACCTTATCTATGAAGGAATTTTCCCTCATGTCCAACCTAAACCTCCCCTGGCACAACTTGAGGCTGTTTCTTCTCATCCTGAATGCAGTTTGATCTGACATGGTCTCCATCCCATTGCTCCCATCCTAAATTTAAAATACTCTGCCAGCTACTGGGAAGAAAATTAACTCTGTCCCAAAAATTAACTAAAAACCAGGGCAACATATCACAGTACCAAACCTGTGAGTTTGAGAAATGTTTGGACAACAATCTCAGGCACAGGGTGGGATTCTTGAGGTGTCCTATCCAGGGCCAGGAGTTGGAGTCAATGATCCTGATGGGTCCCTTCCAGCTCAGGGTATTCCGTGATTCTAACCACCCTGGAAGACACTTGATGCCAAATCCAATGGCCTCATTTATAACTGAATCTCCTTCTGAAACTTTGTGTAACAGCATTTTCCAGAAATACCTGGATCAGTGTTGGCTTTTCCAGTGCTGCCAGGCTTGGAAAACTGAATTTTGGTGGTAGAGAATGAAAGCACCTTCCTATACCCAGCGTGTCTTCCTTATCATTGATGTGCTGTAACAGCAGGTTAAATTACTTTCATCCAAATATATACAAATAAGGGATACAAATAATAATTGTGAATTATTAAGGTATTCCCRAGGCTTGTTGGCTGCAGGGACAGCTTTCCTCACTCAGCTGATCACACCAGATCCTCCGGATGCAGCTTTTTGGGAGGATTATCTGGCAAGAGGATTACACTGCTGGCACATCAGGGCACGGTGGGGTCGGGACAGGGTGGATGAGTGGAGGTGTTTGGGATTGGGTGTTTTTGTGGGATTGGGGCTGCAGGAGCTCAGTGTGGGACACGCCTGCTCTTGGCAATCCCCAGGAGCTGATTTCTGAGGTCAGTGACTAATTTCTAAGAGCAGAAGTGGATGTAAGACACTCCTGTGAGCAGGTACAACTTGAGATGTTTCTGCTGTGCCATCCTGGAGCCCCACACTCCGTACCTGTCACCGGGAATGAGGGCTCCCCGATTCCCCTCTTCCCCTGCCACTGACCTGTTTTTCCAGCCATCTGAAGGGACAGCCAGCTCTACACCCCATTCACACATGTGCCACTGACATTTACAAGCTCTCTTGTGTTCATCCTGCCTTTGCATTTGATGYTTTTTGTTGTCTCTCAGTGTGAACTCGTCTTTCAGCGAGATGTTGTCCGAGGCGCTGTGAGCTTTTGCTGCGTGAGTCCTGCTCCCAGTTTTTGGAAAAACTCAGCTTCATTGCTGATTCCCTTTGAACTCTCGGATGCTGGGGTAGCAGCAGAGAAGCTGGGGAAGAGGAGGCTGTAGGGAGACCTTTCAGTGCTTAAAAAAGAGCTGGACAGGGACTTTGGGCAAAGGATGGAGTGATGGGACAAAGGGGAATGACTTTAAACTGTAGGAGAGTAGATTTAGATGGGATATTAGGAAGAAATTCTTCCCTATGAGGGTGGTGAGGTCTTGGCACAGGTTACCCAGACAAATTGTGGACTTCTTGAAGTGTCCAGGGCCAGGTTGGACAGGGTTTGAATCAACCTGGGATAGCAGAAGGTGTCTCTGCCCATGGCAGTGACATTGGACTTGATCATCTCCAGAGGTCCCTTCCAACCCAAACCATTCCCTGATTCTGTGATTCTCTCGCATTTAACACCATCCAAAGCTGTGTTTGGAATCTGTCAGCCTTGTGAATGGAAGAATAAATTGACTGTGAAAATATTGACAGCGCGTTTGCTTGTGCCAGCTTCCTGACTCGGTCCATAAAATTCATCTCTTTGTTTAAATGCGTGGAGCTAACCAGAGGGTGGAAGGGAGGAGAGCACAGGCTGAAGGCTGGACTGAACTCCTGCACCCCTCAGATCCCTTTACCCCAGGGCAGCAGCGTTCTTGGGAGGTGCTGGAAAACGTTGGATCACAAAGAAGAAAATTCGAGCAGTGTGTGGGAATAGCAGCGAGGGGTCACTCAGARCCAGAGACAAGAGCAAGCAGATGCCTTGTGCAGTTCCCTGAAAAAAAGAAATACAGGGAAAATAACCCAGCTTTCCTCCTCCCTGGCAGATCCAATGTCTTTTAATCTGCTTTGTCTCCCAGCTTCTCTGACAATGGAAGTCGCTGGTGGTCTGCTGGGGTTAAGCAGCAGTTCTGGCAGCTTCAGAGCAGACGTGATCTCCAGGTCTCATTGCTTTGAAGCTCCCGGTTCTATCAGGCTCAGCTCAATCAGATTTTTCCTTCTCGGTGGAGGTAGAAAATCAGAGCCCATCTGATTGCAGTGCTGAGACTTGTCTAATTGAACAAGTGCTCGAGTCAACACTTGAGCAGGATGAAAAACAATGGGGAGATCACCCAAGGATTATGTCTGAGCTCCACAGCTCCTGGCAGCGACGGAGCAGATGGCTGGGTCGCATCCTGCCCACGGCTGGGCAGCAAAGAAAAAAGTGTGGATAGGGAAAAAAAAAAAAACCTAATTTTGTTTAAATGTATTCAACTCAAAATCTAGAAGCACCTCAGGTCTCTAATTTTGTACTTGTCATGGTTTTGCTTGGTCCAATTTTTGGTAGTGGGGGATGAGGATAAAGAAACCATCCCAGAAGATGGGATTGGTTGGGGTCTGGCTCTGCAGACTCCTGCGAGGAGCCCYGTGCTGCCTCAAAGCTGATTTGGGTACAAATGTTTTGGGAAGGGGAACTGAGATGCAGGGACTGGGAACAACGTGGCTGGTCATGGAAAACTGGGGAGCAGCTTGGAACTGTCTGGACATTGCAGGTGAACTTTGAGCCMCTGTGGGGTGGCTGTGCTGGTGGAGCCGGGAATCCAAATCCAAGAGCTGGTGGGGTGAGAGGTGGTTTGTGCAAAAGTGTGAGAATATCAGAAATATCCCTGCAGGTCTGCATCTTCCAGCCTGTTCCTTATAGGATCACACTCGATCCTACAGCCARTCTGTATCCAGAGAGGTTTGGAGAAGTTGCTGGTGGCCGTCCCACGGGTTTGTGGCCATCACAGGTCCTGGTGATCCCCATGTGGCTTTCTGTCCACTTCCCTTAGGGTGGCAATAAATGAACACACACAGAACTGCTTTTCCCAATGCCCAAACTTCTTGTGTCTGGGAAATACATCCTCAGAGGAGCCCAGAGTCATTGTGGTGCCCTCACTACGATCGAAATTATCTATTTCCTCTAGCTCTGGACCCTCCTAAACTTTATTTACATTTACCCAAACAGCAGTGCATGTATCAGGCCAAGCTGGGAATATCAGAATCTCTTCATCTGTAACTGCTGCTGCCTTTAATTCCCTCCTGCCACCTCTTCCCMAAAGTACTTTTAACCCTGGAAACCCCCACAATTTTGCTTTCTGTATTTAAAAGTTATTTTCATTTTTTSGAGTCTGTCTGTGGCTTGAACAACAATGAAAAACTGCATTCTGCATCTGGTAAAATGAAGTGGAAATGCCTTGCTGGCAGCATTAAAAATACTGTTTCCCTGGGATGTTTCTGGATTTAAACTCTGGTTTTAAAAGCTTTTTTTGTTTSTTTGTTTGTTTCCAGGGGGCAGCACTGGAAGAACCTTTATGGGCTCCTGATGACATGCAGGTRGACGATTGACTGATGATRATTAAGGTAGGAAGAAGTGCTGKTRATTTTGGATTTTGACATCTTCTCAKTTGTGCTGTCCTCAAAATARAACCGTGCTGGCTGGTGACTTGACAGTCAAAGCTTTATTTTGGGGTTCAGTGCACAACTGTGGCACTATGGCCGAGCAGTAACTTGTGCTCAAGTGTCTTTTTAAACACAGAGAGAAGGGAAATCTTATTTAAGAACTACCTGGGAACGTAACTAAGTGGAAAAAATCTGACTTCCTCCCCCAAAGGATAATAAGGTCTCTGTTGGTGCGGAGCTGGAAGGGACATGACTCTTATTTGAGAGCACTCAGCACAGGGATTTTTTTGTTCTGCTGAAACCCAGTGGTTGGGTTGGAATTCAGGTTCTAACTTGCCATTTCAAAAAAAAAAAAAAAAGTCAAACTAAAAATATATTTTATTCGTTTATTTTCATCATCTTGWGCTTCTGTGGAAAGCTGGTCTATCTCCAAACGCGGCAAGAGAGCGCTCAATTCTTGATTGATGAAACAGAGGAAAATCCCTGATTTAAAAGCACTAAACCATTGGACAAACATGGAGAAAAAAATACAAATATGAGCAGAGTTGAATGGGTTTATAAGTAGCTTTTATGCTGCTTTAACATTTGGATCCTTGCCTTGCTGGGTCGTTTCTGCCACGGTTTTGTGCTTGGAGGCATCACGAGGAGGGGTCAGTGGTGATCTCTGCCTCTTCTTCCATATCAAAGAAGGTCTTCACCCCTTTAGGAGTCACCACAGAGACTCCCAAATATCTGCTGTGACAGAGCCTTTGCTTTCTCTCACTATTGGGGTTTTTCACTTCTGATTAACCCTTAATGCCTGGTTGGTTTTCGGCGTCGGCACAGAGCTGTTGGAAGGAGAGGGGCGGATTCAAGCCGTGACAAGAGCGAATTCTTTTAACAAGAGCAGGTTTCCCATTCTCCATTCGTGCTTTTTTGTTTGGCTTGTGATAAGATGCGCTGCTGTGGAATTTGCTTGGAGCAGGGATTTGCATGAATTATTGTTTCTTGCAACGTGCACATCTGTGCTGAGCCTTCTCCCCGTGCTCCACGGCACCCTGGCACCCCTTTTTAGAAGAATTTGTGTGCCAGGGTGCAGTGGTCACCAGAACCCATGAGTTCAGGGGAAGGAAGGCTGTAATGATAAAAACAAAGCTGCTGAAATAARGGGAAAACTCCTTCAGGGGCTGTGCAACAGCATCAGGATTTGTGTGTTTATYCTATTGATTTGTGTGTTTTATCTATTGTGTTTATTCTGATTTCTCAGCCCAGCAGGATTTTGTAAAAGCAACATCCTCCTGTTAGGAAAAACTTGGGGCAAAAAACTTGGCACAAAACTTGTGCTTGGCCTCCTCCAGAGCTCACTTTCATATTTAGGAAGTGTAATGCCATCAGTCACGACTGCTGATTGATAGAGTGTGGCCCAAAATGATGTACAAGATGGGAGTAAACAGTCATTGGGGATGGTCTCTTGATTCCACACTYGGAGCTTGAAGAGTTTCCCTTTCTCCAAGAGAGATATTTCTGTAAATCACTAATTAAGCAAATGAGCTGCAGTGACATCAGTCTGTCTCCAAAAAGCATGAGCTGATGTTTTGGAGAAACCTCCCAAGCTGCAGACTCAAATTATCCAATATTTCAAATTGTGGTGTCTCGTTGGAATAGAAAGAGAAAGAATTGCATGAGTTTTAAGTGACTTCRGCTTTCATGTACAAAATCAAGCTTTTTATTTAATTCTAAATTCTACATTGATGCTAAATCCGGTGTCCTCACTAAATTTGACTAAGCCTGATGGTATTAAWAAAAATTTGCTTGTAATTCTCTTACTTCCTTTTTGTAGAGAGTAGAAAAGGTTAAGGCAAAYGTGTTAGGATGTTCATCTAAAATACTTTCTGTAACGTGCTTATTTTCTGAAAAAAATTGCTTTGATGGGGGAAAATTGGGAAAATTATTTATTGCAATAAGTCTAATTRGTACAGAGCATCAGGGGCAGGTGGAGCATCAGTGGTGCCACCCTTAGTGAGGTCTGGGTTGGGAAGAGCCACTGGTGGGGTCAAAAGTGATCAAAGCAACGTGCACAATGTGATGGAGATTTTGGGCTGTGTGGGGCCGTGTTTGAGTGTGCAAACACCACCAGAGCTGCTCAGAAGGGCAGAACCCATCTGGGYGTGGAGGATATGGTCCCACCGATACCCACGCAGCGCTGAGTGCCGTGGTTTTGAGAGGAGGAGCGCTAAACYCTCATCTTCCTTCAACAAAACCCGCCCAAAACCATCCTCTACCTTTGCACCAYCCATCTCCTCCTCCAGCTGTGCTGCCAGAATCTTCTGGGAGGTGGGAGCTGCCCTGATGTGGGTTTGCAGAAGAGCTGGGCACGTGTGGTTCCCCCCGCCCTCTCCAGCAGCTCCCGTCACCGAGCTGTTGTTTTGGGTGCTGCCCACAATAACTGAAACATCTTTCCTGCCAGATAAGTCGGTAATTGCGGTTGGCTCCTTCCTCCCGTGTTTGTTCTCGTCGTGACTTGAAGCTTCGTTTGTCATCGGGGCGCTCCCTCCCTGCTCCCCTCAAGCAGGGCAGCCCCACAACCTCTCCTTCAAGATTTGCTCCTCAAAAAAAAATTCCACAGCTTCGTCTTCTCCCCAAGCACATGCAAATGTGACCAAATTTCACGRGATGAGACAGAAATGTGGTGGGTCAGGATCCACCCCATCCCTGCACTGCTTCATCCTGGTTAGGTTTTGTTTTTGGATGGTGGCCAAGGCAAAAAGTGGTTTCTCCCCCACTTGGATTTGCAGTTTCGGTCGAAGCCACCACCATCTGCAGTGCTTCTAAGCCCTTTGAAGATTCCTCTCACGTTTTGGGACTTGCTGATGTGCAAGCTGATCCTTGGAGAACGTTTTGGAAACACAGAGGTTTCCCTGAGACCAAAAATCACGAGTGTTGGAGCACACCACTGCTCCTAAATGCCATCTYCCCACATCTTTCTTGCAAAGCTTCAAACTTCTGCATGGAATTTGATGTCGCTGAGGTGAGCTGACCTGGCCTGCCGCATCCTAAAAACACCCTGGGATTTGCAGGGACTGCTGCACAGAGTGCAAACCACCAGTTCCCAGCGCTGGGTGATTTGAGCTGAGCGAGGAATGGGGACAGGAAGGAGAAAACTCCTTGCAGAAACCACACCAGGCAGCGTGTCAGGACCTGCAGCCCCTCTCTGGAGCTGCTGGGTATAAATAAACACATCCACCCTCCGTCTTTATTTCTGACAACTGCCTCCCTGAGGAGTAATTTATTTTTTTTTTCCCAGTAGCTCGTTCTGCAAGCAGGTTTCCTCTTGCAGGTGATTAGGAAAACCTCATTTTTATGTTAATTAGGCATAACTATCYGTGCTCAGACATCAACTGCTCTCACATCCTTCCCAGACGTGCGATTTTTATTGAAATTCAGTCCTGAAAAACCGATACCAGCAACTGATGTACCTGTTGCCTGAACAGATGGGGAACTGCACCAAATACCTCAAAAATACGTTGCCAGGGTGCAGCAACCACAGGTTCAGCTTTCAGGAGGGCTGCAGCTGCAGCCTGCAGCTTGGGTTTAGGTTTTTAGTTGTATTTACTGGCTAAATTTAAGGGCTTCCTCAACAACTTGTCTCAACTGAGGTCAAGCTGTGCTAATTAAGCTAATTGCAGCTAAGCACARCTGCTGCTGACACTGGTGGGCCTGCACCTATAGGAGCAATTCTTTTTCATGTTGATGTTTCCAGACACATCTCTGCTTTGATTATATTTGATGCTKTGAGAAGGTTGAGTTGATCCACGTCTTTGGTAAAAATGGATCCTTCATTTTGCACCAAAAACCTCAAAAATACGTTGCCAGGGTGCAGCAACCACAGGTTCAGCTTTCAGRAGGGCTGCAGCTGTGGTCTGAGGATGGAGAGGGTTGATTTTTATCCACATCTTTGGTAAAAATAAATCCTTCATTTTGGGCAGATTGGTTACCCCATCCCTGGAAATGCTCAAGGTTGGATGGGGTTTGGAGCAACCTGGTCTAGGGGAAAGCATCTCATGGAACTGGATTGTGTTTAAGGTCCCTTCCAGCAGAAAAGGAAAGGGAATTCGATCAGATGTGCTTTGGGTTTGTTGGTAAAGCACAAATGCAGCTGCCTCAGTGATGTTTTTTTCACGGTACCAAACACAGAAGATTCTGGAGGTGGAGTGGCCAGAGGAATACATCTGGTCCCAGCTGATACAAACCAAAARCCATGAAATCTTGGAATTGCACCCAGCAGTGGCACAACTGGAATTKCACCCTTACCCCACGTGCCACAAACCACATCCAGGTTTCAGGAGCACATTTGCCCACCAGACACAGGTCAGCAATGGGATTAGCCAGCTCAGCGGTTGCTTACACCATTAACTTCTCCTATCTCCTTTTCCAGAACTCAGTTCTCGTGGTKTTATTGAAGGATTTTGTAATCCAAATCCTTGGGGTTCCTTGSTGAAAGCTAAAACAAATATATCCATCTTATCAGGTCTTTCCAAGAGCAAAGCATGGAAATCCCCTGTCAGGCTGGCACCATCGCCGGTGTTTTCCTCTCTCTCCACCAGCGACTTTTCCTTTAATATTGCTGTGTAAATCTTCCCTGGATTATGCAATGATTAAGGAGAAAGAATGAAGAATTACACAGGAATTTAGCAAGGGACACATGGACCTCTCGCAGCTCCAGCTGCTGGCTGGGTGGATTTGTGGCACTTATATTAAAAAAATGGTGCAGAACTGACAGTGCTCGGTCAGAAATCTGTTCCCTTTTCACACAGAGCAGGCAGATATTTGGGGTGGGGATTTTTGTACGTGGATGTGCACRGGGAGATAAGGCAGGCTGGAAAAAATTAATTATTCAGTGGGAGTATTTCCAAGGGCTGTGATTCTTTACCTGGGGTGGCCTAAGGTGGGTGCCTTTTATGGGAAGTGATCYCTGGCTGCAGGTGGGGAGAA